CGTTAATACTAACAGGAATATTTCCTAGCAGAGGCTGAGCAGGATCAGCATTCTGCTCCGAGGTACCTACTACAGCCAACCCCACACAAATAAGAATTAAGTGAGCAACAGCCAAGGAGTTGCACTGCATCCTCTGAAAGGACCATGCTTCAGCTTCTGGAGGAGCTTTTAGTATTTGCAAAGCAGTGTAAGACCCAGCACAGGAAACATCCGTATCTCAGGGCTTTCAAAACACCATCTTGCTTTAGAAAGCTCACAGATTTCTTCACATACCTCAGTAGGAGATACTTCTAGCTCGCTAGATATGGAAGAACCACGGGTCTAGCTCTTTCCCATGGAAAATTTTTTGGCTTGCTGCTGAAAAGGATGAGCACATCTTGTGGGCCACTTCAGAGCAGCAACAGACCTCAGAGTGAGAAACCATCCTTATGACTCAAGGGAGAGTTTCTATATTAAATCCATGTTGCTCGATTAAGATCTAGCCCACCTCATGCCAGTTGCCAAAGCACTAATTTCTGCTGGTGATTAACCCGTTCCCAGTGCCTGGGTACGCCACGTGCTGCCTCCTAGAGCTGCTGGGGAGGCTGGTTACGCTAACTGCAGAACATCTCTGAAAATCATTCAAGCAGAGAAAGGAACTTCCAACCCGTGCCCTCACTGGCAAAATACATCACCTGAAATGGGAATCAGCTGCCAGGCGATGGTTTCGGGTTCAACGCATTGTCTTCATCGTGGGTGCACCGAGACATAGAGTCTCTGCAATATCTCTACAAGGGTGGCCATCCCGCACCCTGACCCACCCGTCCCATGCCACGCAACACCTCAGTCGCCCCATGTGGAGTACAGACTCCAAAAAACCTCCTCAAGCCTGAGCAAACCCTGTCACAGAATGACGGTTCAGATCTGGCCAGGTTCCTGCTAGGAAAAATAGCTCACCTTGGAGCTGGGACCTGGAGTTGGGTTTAGCCAAATACTTGTTAGCAGCATTACACAGAGGGACGTTGAAAAAAATCTGCAAAAGCTTTTCAGTAATATTCTGCCTAGGGATCAGTATTAGTGCAGCTCATCACGCATCTCAGTAAGCCTCTGACTGAGATGGGACTTGTATTTCATTTTGGAAAACATCAGAAAGCCCAGGGTTTTGGGTGAAATCCTTTCAGTTTTCATCTTATTTCAAAAAGGAAAGGTTCCAGTAGGGAAATAGGACACCTAAGAAGCAGCTGGATGCTGAGGACACCCATCACCCAGACCGAGTTTAGCCACGTTTCCGCTGTGCCCGTAGTGAGTTGAAGGCATTTGTGCAAAGGTTCGCACTCCCCCTCCCCAGCTGTCAAAGGGGAGTAATTTTGACCTTATTAGATGAGGTTGTGAAGATTAGTCAGTATTAGCAAAATGGTTTGAAGATGAGCAGTACTGATTACATAAGGACTAATTAGAACCTGTTGATTTCTCCTTCTCAAGAGGCTAAAGCACAGCAGTGCTAATTAGCAGGATAAGCCCAGCAAGCCCGGGTGCATCGCCACCACCTGCACCGCGCTCTACTGTGCTGCTCAGCAGCCTGCGACATCTGCACAGAGCAGCAGCACGAATTAATCGGCAACGAAGGTGTAAGATTGCACATTTCTTTTAAAGAAGGTGAAAACACAAAAATACGTACCATGGCATAGGCTACCCTTCTCATTTTGGGCTGCTGCCCATCTTGCACTTCAAAGGAAACTGCTGCAAGCTGGGATAGACCCAGCTGGATGTTTTACAGTCACCCGTGCCAGAGACAAGGGTAACTGCAAAAGTTGTCCTTGATCACTTCCAGGGTGCAAGTTTGGACATAGAAACTTCTCTGTTCAAAGAAACTAGAAAATGGAAAGCCTGAAGTCTTCACCATTGCCTCCAATGCCGCAAGAACTTCCTCAGCAAAGTCCAATTTCAGCCCACGCTCCTCAGCCCTTGGTTGAGCGACCTAAGGCTGCCTAGTCCAGATACTGCAGACAAAACAGCTACTGCAGACACAAGGGAGCAGTAAAAACACTTTTCCAGCTTTTTTCTTCTCCAGCGTGCATTCACCAACCCTTGACAGAAGCTGGGAAGAAGCATCAGGCAGAAGACTCCACAGACCCAAAGCAGACGGCCTCCAAGCCTTCCCCGTTGTGGAGCTAATCAGGCAGGGATAAACTTTGCTATGCACAGAAACAAGAACAACAGGAAAAAGAAGGATCACGTATCCACTTTCCGCCTGCAGTCCATCCGCCACTGCAGCTGCACCTGCCCCACCACTTTCCTCGTCCGCAGCATTTCCGTGCATGGCAGGCTTGGGAGATGGGCAGCTCAGTCTCTTGGGCTCTCGATACCGAGAGGTTTCTCAGTATTCATGCAGCAAAGCAAGGAGTTGGAGAGGTGCGCAAGCAAAGCAGGAGTCATTTACCAGAACAGCACATTTTAAATCCACACAAGTCAATGGGAATTTAACTTGACTTACGGCAGTTAAATTTTGCTCATTTCCTCAACAGGAAAAGGATCTTTGCACTTTCACCTTTGCCAATGATCATCCCTTAAGAATAAGGCCTGGCCCTATTAAGCGTGTATGAAATTTTTTCTAGCCTGGGCCAGAGAACTTATTTCCTTCATGACTTACCTTTTAATCCGTGCACCATTTATCACAACCCTCCAGAAGCCTCCGAAGGATCAGGGCAGCTGCCAGACAAGGCTGTATAAATTCATCAATTCTGGGCAAGCAGCAGCTTGCTAGATACCCATCTCTTGCTTCTGTACATAACACAGGGCTTCCAGGACCGCCCACCACCCCGTTTTAGGGCTCTCATGGTGAAGAACCTAACCCGTGTCAGTTCTTAAGTCAGTATAAGGAAGCATGAGGCCGCCCCAGGCTCTGTGAGGCTCCAACTGCTGGAAGGTGCCATCCCGAGACGCCAGCTGAAATCTCTGTACAGCAAAGGACAAGTAGTTCACTGATCACGCTTGACTACTCATTTCATTAGAACTGCAAGACTATTGCACGTGGCTGGTCTTTAGATCTTATTAGCAGAGAAAGGCTTGGACAAGTGTAATAATTTACATTTCTTACTGGATGAGCCAGCAACAGGAGAATGGAAACAACCTATGTCGCTGAATTCAATTCTTTACCCATTACAGAAAATGCAAGAGCAGTACGTGCTTCTCCGTGCCGAGTACATGTGTCCTTGGAAGTTCCCACTGCAAATCATCCAGAGAACCTGCACATGCCTTTAAGCCCTCCTGAAAAGCCTCACCTCTGGAAGGCAGGGCCTTGATTATTCCAGGACTATCAAGTTGTACATTTCCTCATCCACCCCCTTTAAAGCCTCAGCAGCTGGCACGCTTCAAGTGCCAGTGCAGCAGCTATTTCAGGCTTTAGATTGATCACCAGTAACACACGTGGCCACTATTTTACAAAAAAATTGAGCAAATGTGGTCTTTGAGGTTTCTGGTAATCCACAACTTCTACCTTTTGATGTAGACTACGTGACGTTGTGTCCGTGGTGCAACGCCAAAGACTCTGGCCACGCAACAAGTCACCTGCCACCTCATGATTAGGCGATGAAGGGTACTACCGAACAGATGCATATTGCCCCAAGTTCCACAGAAGATCATTTTCTGAATCCTCAGCAACTTCATTATCGGCCGAACTACCCTCGTTCCAGTGTTGCAGGTTCTTGTGAAGGAAACCTACTGCACAGCCCCAGATCGGTCTGGTTCCAAAACGAGAGCGTGTACACGTTTCCCAGAACTAGCACTCTTTGCTGAACTTCAGTGATGTATCGCGTGACCATCATCCACCTACAGAAACTCTATTTGGCACAAGGTATCAAAATTCAGGTAACAAACAAGCTTTCAGAAACTTTGGGAAATACCCTAAATGGAGGAAAAAAGGCAACTTTTTTGCCCACAAGCTAGTTAATCTCATGGTGACCAAAGAAAATATTACGTTTGTCTACGTACACTGTTAATTGAGGGGTTTAGACAGTCTTCTATATATTACGAGGGAACAAGAAATGAAGAGATGAGACATGCTGAATTTGTATCTTTTAGCACAGACCAAAATGCAAAAGCTAATTCTGGTTGCAAAAACATTGCAAGTTTCCCTTCCATTTTACTCCTGCCAGAAATCAATTTTTCAAATGGACACAAAAACGCATGAGAAACACTTCATTTAATTAACTGTTCCCCAAATCAGCCTCGTTTGCTTTTGTTGCTGTTGTTCTGGGGTTTGTTTCATTTTTAAATACAAAGTAGGTCAACTGCACATTTTTTTAAATACGCAGTTGAAATAGTTTGTTTCCAGACAGAAGAGATTAAGGCCTGTTAAGCCTCTAGTCCAAAAGCCAAGCAAAAACTTGCAGCTGGTTAGGGGAAGCTGCCAGAGCTGCACTAAGACCCTGACATTGTGAACGCCCAGGTGCCAGGACACCACTCACCTCCACCAGTGCTGTCCAGGTGCAGAAGTACAGAAATGCATGATAAACTATCCGCATCAGTTTGTTCGGGACGTGCAATTTATTTTAAATGACATTTTTGTTTTCTTAGCAAGTCTATGCTTGTGACCTGGGTAAATCCACCCCATCCTGAAAGCGTTCCTCGTTACAAGCCCACATGAACAGCCTGTAGCGCAGGTGTATACCGGCCCGTTACTGGGACAGATCTGCGTACCCTTTACTCCGTAACTCTTACCTACAGAGAAAAAATACAGTGCAGGTTGTCTGACTGAAAACCCAAGCCTCCCCCTCCAAATCAAAGGTGTCCCTTGTGCCTCCTTCCCATGAACGGGCGCAAAGCACAGCTGAGCTACTCAGCCAGCCTGGAGTTCTAGCAGCAAAAAAGGTGCGGATTGCTCACAACCAACCTCCCAAGCAATAGTCAAACAATCCGTTGGCTCCGAGGACCTCACACCTCCTCTTAAGGTCAGCAGGTGAACATTTTTCACACAAAAAAAGTGGATATGGCGTAATCAACAAAACATTGTAAACAGAACGTTTAAGGTTTGCAGCTATTTTATTTACAAGTATACATTTAACACAAAGAAACACTGATATCCAAGCCTAGTTAATAGTAGTGTAACAATATGCATCATTTGGATGATTATTCTAACCAACAAACTACACTGAAAAATTAATGCCAGTAAAATTCTTGGTCATAATATTAAGAAATACAATATATAAATTGAAAATATGATTGCTTAAAATTTGAAAATGGAAGTGAAGCCATTTGCACAGGAGTCAGAGTTTAACATAATCTGAAGGGAAAGGCTCCAAACCAACTGTTTATCTTTCAGGTTAACAGAAGAAAAAAAAAAATAAAAAAAAGGAGAAGCATAGTTTATCCTTAAAGATAATGGGCAGTTTTGCTTCTTCAGGTAGAATGTATTCCCAGTGTTTTCAGGTTTTGCAGTGGAATTACATTACTGAGCATGAAGACTTCCCTTGTGAAGCTGCCCCATCGATTTTTTCTGCCTCCAAAATTATCCTCTTAAAAACATCAACGGCAGTCTGCAAAGAGAGAGTACAAGATTAGTAGGTAAGAAGAAACTGCCCACTTACTGAAAAAATAATAATAAAAACATGTTAGCAGTTTTACTGCTACACCAACAGGTAACTGCACGTCCAACACTTACTCCAAAATCAAAGAGGGAGAACATGGTAGTTTCAGTTTTGAACACAACCTTTTGGAAGAAAAGTGTAACCCCCTTCTCCACAGCAATCCTCAACTATTTTCTCTTATCAGCGCAGGGAGGGCAAGTTTAAACTGAGCCATACTCACGACAGAGCTAATAACTGTAATTCGGCTCTATTTTAAATAGTAAGCTTGTGCTGAGCGACTGACAGCACTGAAGATTTTGATGCTGTGCTGCTCCAGAGAATAAACCGATTCATTTCCTCTAAGTAATCTTTAAGATTCCAAGTAATTACAGAAGGCAGCAGATTTTTCAGCTCTAAACACTGACTTTGCACAGCCCAGAATGAGGGTTACTTCAATATTCTTGATTTTCTCATCTTACCTATAGGTAAGACTAGTATTAGACAGGGTGCAAGAACACGAGGGGAAAACACGAGCCAAACTAGCCACTGTCTAATACTAAGCAGTATCCTTTGATAAAGTCCCCCTGAGAGAAAGGGGTTTTCTATTTTCAACAGCTTGAACGTGGTCAGGCTCACACAAACATCCTAGCTTACTGTATGGAACATACAGGATTATAACAGTCCTCCGCAAAATCGCGAGCCACACAAGCACTATGGATCCCATCACTCCTTCGGAGGGAATGCAGTAAGTACTCTCAGAGCAGGAGTCACTTGTTCTGCTATCAACTCCGCTTGGTCCACGCCGAGTCTCCTCCCTCCACGCTGAGCATAAAGCAGTCTGGTGAAAAAGGCTCTCCCCTACTGAAACTGCAGGTGATGAAACAGAGCGCATGGGCTCAGAAGGGTGATGCTTCCCTCCCCCACACAGATGCTAGTGAGTACAAGTTAAAAATCTTGGGATGGAAAGACACAATTTCCCATGAAAATAAGTTTAACTGAAGCAGAGACACTAAGAAAGGATGTCAGACCACTGGAGTGATTCAGGAGATTTTACGGAAGAATTTGATTAAGTGTAGTTAGCTTTTTGGTGGGGTTTTGTTTGTTTGTTTTTAAGGATACTGAAAGATGGGGACGGTAAGGTGTCTGGGACAATATCATGAATGCTACTTGTAGTAAATACCTTACACTGTTAATCTGGTATTTTCAGGATTCACTCAGTTTTAAGCGTTTCAAAATTGTACACTACCCTCCATCAGAATATGCAGAAACTACGACTACAACATGCAGCATCTGAGATTGCCTAGAAATAATTTACGAAGAATAAATCTGTACTACAGTCAAGGACAATTCTAAAGTGCTTTTCTTCTCTACAGTATTTTCAAGCTGAAGATTCACCATATGGTCAGTACTTCAGCTTATGAATCTTCAACTTGGAAATGGTCTCCTGATCATCTCAGACATGCCATTTTAAGTTTATCTAACCTCTAGTCATCCGTTTCATGAATTCCAAGCATATGCTCCTTAGAGAAGGGAAGTATATTCATTATATAAAAGCAGTCACATTATGAAAGAAGATAAAAAGGGGGTTTTGTTGGTTTTAATCAGCAGGCTGAAGAGCACCCTGTGATTTATGACTATGTGTTCTGATCTGACAGATGTTTTTCCGCCTCCACAAGGTATAATTCTTAATTGGATCACTTCCAAATTAATCCCATTGACTAAAGTAGCCCCGCAACAACCTTAGAGCAATCTTAGTAAGATTAGACTGAATTTTAAAGTTTCCCATTTTTATACCGTTTGTGCACAGTACTATCTCTAGAACTATTCAAAACACTTCATCCGCTGGAAATAGAGTATTCTTCCATATAATGATGTTTCCCTGCAATCCCAACTGACTCTGACAGAAGTGGCTTGTTAGTCCAGTACTATACAACACATTTCCTGGGGAAATTAGACTCTAGAACCATGGTCAGGACCGCAATTGCTATCAAACCAGTGCCACTAATGAAGAGTTTCCCTTAATCAAAACTTGGCGATACACCGATTTACAAATATACTGCACTAATGTTTCCCTACTTAGAGCTGACATTTTCAATGGTTTCATTTTAACACAAAAAGTTCTTTATACCCCTGCTTCAAAGCATCTATTAAAAAAAGCCTGCTACAACTTATTCGGTCAACCAAGAAGCTGTATATTCTCTCTGTCAAAGACGTGCTGTTTGAAACACTAAGATGTAGGAGTTCACAGGGCTTGTTAATTCATTTCACAGAAAATACGTATTCACTGAGAAGGTTTAATCACTGTCCTACAGTTAACCCTTAGGAATTTGTAATTCAGCCCAAATACGCAGAAGTACTTTAGAATGAGCTTTTAAACAACGCAGGAAGCTGTGTTTTGTGACAAGGAATAAAGAATGCAGCCAGACTTTATTCGCATCCATCTCCATACGGTCCAATTACAGAATCTGGGTCACACCCAGCCTACAGAAAGCCATCTGGCTTTCTTCTACCTTTCTCCCCTGAGGAAACAAAATACATGTCAGCGTGGGCAACTCATGCTGCCTAGAGAGCTTAGCACCATGCAGGAGACACCAGAGGCTCAACCGCTTCTGCAGATGCGCCCCTTGGTGTGAGCGGGACAGGCAGCTCAGGAGGTGCAATTCTCTCTGCACAAGCAGGGAGTCGGGAACACGATGCCAGGAAGGTGCAAACACCCAAATCCAGCCCACAGCCTCCAGAGTCAGCTCGTCCTTTGGTATGCTCTATTCTTCAGCTACGCAACTGTTTTATCATTTCAAAAAGGAAACTCTCAACTGCTCATACTACTAGTTATCTTGGCACAGAACTGGGCAAAGGAACTTCAGCAACAGTCAGGTAACGAAGAGAGGCTTTCTCCCCCCCATCCTTTGTTAGTCCAAACACACTCTCCCAGGTAAACATTTCAGACCCCTGGAGGGGGGCTAAGATCCCAAACCACTCTGAAGCATGTACCGAGCACCGCATCATCTGTGCTTGACAATGAAGTCACTCTTGAAAAAGAAGCAATGCCCAAGCAACTGCTTTTTAAGAGAGCTCTGTTTTGGCGAGAAGTAGATTTTTTTGCTACTTCCTTGCCCCTTCTAAAACAAGTTTATCTAATGAATTTTGCGTAACTGGATGAACACAATTTGGCTGCTCGTTGCTCCCTAAATTCTCCCAGTAAAAGTTGGCTCCCAGCTTCAACTGGGTTTAAGACCAGTTTGGATTCCGGTTGTATTTCAGTTACCACTTTATTGTACTGGGATTAAGATGAAGTACTCTACTATGGCTGAGGTGAAACGAAGTAGGGAATTCCGCAAGGCTCAAAGCTCCTGAAGTTAGCCAAAGCAGTACATACCTGGTAATAATTAAGCAGCTTGAGAAGATATGACAATAATAGCCCAGCAGTAATCTAAAAGAGGTCTTTTCCATTAAGTCTCAGAATTGCCTTCTCAAAGCCCAGGGATTTCCCCAGATGACTGATACGTTGCTGATATGCAGGCTCCTCCGAAAGCCCTACCAGGTCACCCTTGTCTGGAGGGGCTGATACATAGCCTCAAATATATTTGACCTTGGGAACTCCTGCCAGCCACTACCATTTATCCTAACCGCAGCTTTGATCTTTGCCTCTCTCGCTTTCCATCTATTCAAAGTCATGCTATTTCTGGAATGTGGTTATCTTTCGGTAACTCCTGGCAGAATAGGACTAGTTTGCTGAAGTTGATCTATAGAACTATTTCCGTTTCAGAGTAAGAGAAGATATCCTGTCTTGACAGAGGTCTATGTATCAGCTGTTTTGATCCTGTCAAATTAGGATTTGGAGGAGAAAGAACGCAAGAGTTCAGAAGTGCTCCTGGTCTAACTCACAGGAAACAATGCCTGGTGTCTCCTGTTCCCCCTAGCACCTCACAGCTCTAGACCCCACACTTTGCTCTCAAAGCTCAATCTTCCACCTCTTCAGAGGTGAGCATTCCTCCACGAGAAGACTAAGGCAGCTGCCCTAGTTTTGGGCTCCTTCACACTTTCTTCTGTACATCCCAAGCCTCCAAAGGAAGCATGCCAGAGAGCCTGAAAGATGGTCACATGCTGTGGGCACCCACCTCAGAAGTGACATACAATCCCCTAAACTTCTCAAGCCAGACAAATTTACCAAGTGTATTATGTAAGAAGCATGAAGGAGGAATTTGTGTTCAAGCACCTGTTTCTAACAACCTGCATCTGACTCGAGGGACAGAATTTACAGCGAC